TGTACCAACTGACCGTTATTCTCCCCTTGGTCACCCCTCCCGTTCACCCCTCCCCTATATCTATCTCCTACTCCCCTCCCAGCTCCCCTCACCATCTCCCACTTCACCCAGTTGCTAACAAACGTTCACAGGCAGCTCTCGTCAGGTACAGGTTCAGTTAGTTTGGAAATCGGGCTTGTTGCTGTGAGCTGTGTGTGGTGGTGTGGCTCGTGTGGGAGGTGTGGTGGATGGTCTGGCTCGTGTGGGAGGTGTGGTGGATGGTCTGGCTCGTGTGGGAGGTGTGGTGGATGGTCTGGCTCGTGTGGGAGGTGTGGTGGATGGTCTGGCTCGTGTGGGAGGTGTGGTGGATGGTCTGGCTCGTGTGGGAGGTGTGGTGGATGGTCTGGCTCGTGTGGGAGGTGTGGTGGATGGTCTGGCTCGTGTGGGAGGTGTGGTGGATGGTCTGGCTCGTGTGGGTGGTGTGGTGGATGGTCTGGCTCGTGTGGGAGGTGTGGTGGATGGTCTGGCTCGTGTGGGAGGTGTGGTGGATGGTCTGGCTCGTGTGGGAGGTGTGGTGGATGGTCTGGCTCGTGTGGGAGGTGTGGTGGATGGTCTGATTCACATGGGAGGTGTGGTGGATGGTCTGGCTAGTGTGGGAGGTGTGGTGGATGGTCTGGCTCGTGTGGGAGGTGTGGTGGATGGTCTGGCTCGTGTGGGAGGTGTGGTGGATGGTCTGGCTCGTGTGGGAGGTGTGGTGGATGGTCTGGCTCGTGTGGGAGGTGTGGTGGATGGTCTGATTCACATGGGAGGTGTGTTGGATGGTCTGGCTCACGTGGGAGGGGGGTGTTGAAAAATGTGGCTGGCCAGCCACATCTAGTTCTGATGGATGACAGAGGTTCTCGACAGGGAGTACAGTAAAGTCAAATTCATACATACGCATTTTGACAATACATTTTCTAATAATAAACCATATGCAGTACCTGTATATAGTATTACGTTAGGCTGTAATAGCCACAGGGTAGGTTGGGTTATGAGGTAGGTTTTGAAAAATGTTGACAAACCATCTTGCCTGAGTTTACCCGAGAACCACTGACGCTAGTGGCCTCGATGAGGGACAAGAAGCCAGCGACTTGTCGAAGGTTCCTCTCCCCCATCATTTGCCTTGATGGTCCAAATGTGATTTGCGGCTTCAGGAAGGCCTGTCTTGGGTGTGAGAGGCATATGCGATGACCGAGCTTGCATATGGCAAGTGTCCTGGTTTTTGGTGTTTGTGTTGATAAGTCGTGCATTGGCTGTTGCAGTAAGTTACGCTCGGTATGATCAGAGAGGATGAAAAGGGGAGTTGGTTTTTGGTTTTGGCTTGACAATGAATGTTTTTGTCATTGACTTGTAACAGTGACTTTAGGTCCTGGGTGGCATTTTTATGATCTGGTTTTACTTACATGATTAAGATTATATTTTGTGTTTTGTTGTTGTACTAGTAAAAATATTTGTCCTATTGATTTATGAGTCTGACAATACATGTTATAACTGGCTTGCTATTGTTGATTGTTTAATACAGTTGTTACATAAAGACAGCAGTTTACTGTTGGCAGATTGGATAATATAATTCAATAGAAATATATAAGAAAAAAGATTAAGAGGGTAATTACTGTACTGTTTTCACACTCATAATTTGTATTTTTCAGATTCTGCAAGCACCACAAGAAAATAATAAACACAGTAAAGTCTTTATTTTGTAGATAACCCAATGGAGGATTTGTTGTCTAGTTTGAGTGGGGTGGCTGTAACAGCTCACCCTAACAACCCACATGCTGAACATCCGCACTTTTCCCTGTATAAAGCCAAAAATACAGGCTCGTCACAGCATGAACGCAGAAAAAGTGTGCTGGAAGCGAGGAAAGAGTAAGTGTTAGTAGGTTTTAGTTACGTAAATTTATGTTTGGTCTATTGTTTGTAGTACAGTAATGTTGTGGTTGTCGTGCCAGCATAAATTCAATACTGGTAGTGTCAGTAGTGGCCGTTTTTTTCACACTTATGAGCCCTTTTTTTTTCCTTTCTTCTGACATTTGCTATATTTACTCTGTATTTTAAGAGCGTCTGACCACAAGCTTGTTGCTGTATCCTATTTTCTAGCACTTTCATCTTCAATCTCCAAACTTTGTCGCCAACATTTTTATATCCTGTACAGGTACTGTACTGTAATGTGCTTCTCCAACTATAAACTTCTAAATTTCAGACGGTAAGGTGATAATAATAAACTTTCTTCTAATAATTTAAATTTTACATTAATCTACTTAAACATCACTTTTTCAGGGCTCGGTATGACTTGCTGATGCATTTGCGTAGTGTAGAAGAAGAATCAGCTGAATCATCTGACTTCTCTGATGAAAATATGGATCTTGAAGAGGTAAAAGTTACAGAATGCTTTTTACTTAATTAATTAACATTTTTATTTATTGTGTAGAGTTTTTTCCAACTACCCTAGAAAAAAATAGCCATTGATGGGTCATTCCATGCCAAATCATCACAGAAAAATGGATTCTACAACCCCGACTATCTCAGATTTTAACAAAATTTGTTAGGATGGTAGAGTACATGAAGTAACTTGCATATGTAACATTTTAGCTCACAGTATGGTACACAGTGAGGTCAAGCCTGGCCCCAGGCCGAGCTTGGAGAGTAGAAGAATGACTGAAACCCTCTCCAGATATGCTCCAGATACTCATACAGCAGTGTTGACAATGTGAAAATAAAGTTTTTGCTTATAAGTACAACAAAATGTCATAACTCTGCTTCTAATTGAGGTAGAACCTTTGTATTGTGCATGTTTTGAAGCTAAGCAAGCATTGTTTTCATTAAAAATTAAATTTTATTCATTTCAAGGTCACAGTATGGCATTATCACAACGTTGATTACTGTATCAGGTATAGGTTCTTTGGCTGGCTTGTGGAATATTACAGCACCATATATTTGTTTAAGGAATTCTTGCAGCACTCTTTAAGTTTTTATTTTCCAAGTAAGCAGTACTTAGCCTTTAACCAATTACACATATGAGTGCACTCTTTTAGGCATTCACATAACTCCCCACTTACAACACCCCTCCACCCTGGCATATATCAGAGATGACATTTACATACATTGGGATTTTGAGAACAGTACAGTGTATGTTATAGTGACAAATATTAATATATAACTTCAGTTAATTTTTTTATGTTTTGTATCAACAGATTCGAATATGTTATTCTCGTCCGAAAAAATATCGTAATTTCCTAATGTTAAGCGAGTGGTTGGTGGATGTGCCAGAAGATTTTGCTACATCTTTTCTCGCTGTGCCATGTCCAGTAGGAAAAAGAACTCTTGTTGTATCTGCCAAGGTAAGCTTTCAAGAGAATTATCAAAGCAATTTTTTATTGTATACTGTATATTTATTTGTATATACAGTACTGTATGTATATATGTCATACCTAATAGCCAAGACTGTACTAATAATCTTTGTAAGAAAGGACCATTTTGCCTAATAGCCAGAGTGATATTGTAAACAAGGGGTATTTTCAAATATTTCTTTCAAAATTAATTCGTCTTGAATAATATTGACTACATAAATTTCTATCTTTGTTCGACCTAGTTTTACACATCTTTGGCAGTACAGTATTGAGGAATAATCTGCATATTTAGGTTGTCATGTTGCTAAGTTAGTTTAGGATATAATTAAAATTACATTTTTTTTTTTTAGTAATTATCACAGTAGATGTTTATAAATATTAAAATACTGTTAAGAAAATCTAGTTACTTTTTATTAATGAGAATTATTGTGATTGTCTAATTATTCCATGAATTTATGTTGAAGCATATTACTGAGAGTTGAATCATTTTCCACCTCCAGGGCAGGACACGTGCATATGCCAAGTCTGGCACCATGGTGGGCCAGTTTCCTTCTCTACTGCCGGGTGGTAACCGCCAAACAAATTTTAAAGGTTATGCTCTACTAGACTGCATATGGTCTGAAACTAACAAGACATACTATGTCATAGACCTCATAGTGTGGCTTAACCAGTCTGTGATGGGGTGTGAGGTAAGCAGTCAGAAATACAATTAGAAATGGGCCATGAACGTTTCTGCTAGATTTAAAATTGTCGGTATCTATCTATATTTAATATATATATCTCTTTGCCCATGGTGCTTTGTGATAATTGCCTTAAAACCTAAGCCCATCACAGTGGAAGGGCTCAAGTTCCAGCTAATCTGTATTAGTGAGAATCCCCTGTATATTATTAATATATACACATTGTATAGTATCAGCACATATGAGGACATAACATAAAAATGTAATTTTGCATATGGATCGTAATATACACTGGATTCTTTAGAATATATAAGGAATTTACATAAATATTTTACAGGCATTTACACTTGTAATGAAAAAAGAACTTAATTGTGTTGCACAATATTATTGATAATAATGAATTTTATAATGTACATTTTCCAGACGCAGTTTAGATTTGAGTGGCTGAAAACTAGACTGTTGGAAGAAGCACCAGAAGTCTTACATGTATCCAAACTTAATCCATTTAGGTAGGTTGCATTTGTTGTCTTTGAGAAATGTGAGATCTGTTTATATTATTTAAATGTATTAGTTTAACAGTCATTTGGACATTGTGGATTGAAATTACCTTGATATTCTTAATCTCCTTTCATTTCTGATGCTGAAATATTTTATTTTTAATGGATTAAAATTTTGACATGGGTAGTGCTGCATCCATAAATTTCTCTTGTACATAATGTGCCTCAAAGCTTTCATTCATATGGCATACAAGTATAGCATAAGAGCATATGAATGATCTCTCATCTTGCCTTGTGCTTTCAAATATATTTGCTGCTTGATAAAATATTGAGGCCTTGCAATAAGATTGAACCTGGACTCTAGACACACAAGACACTATCGACTTAATCATGGTTCATTTGGTAGTGTGTAGTTACCTAAGTGTAGTTACAAGATGAGAGCTATGCTCGTGGTGTCC